TCGACCTGAAAAGAATCATTTTGTACTTTATAAATCAAAGCCTAACTAAAACGAAATCGAACCTTCATATATTTTATTCTTGATACCAAACGTAAGCCAGGTGATGGAACATTGTTCAATCATAACGATTTGATGAAGTCGACGAGGCGAGGATGAATCAAACGTTTCAAAAGTCGTTAATCTAAGAATATTTTCAAAACTTTCTTTTTGAATATTTTCGACTTCTGATGCTTGTTTTATTTGCTTCGATGTTGATAAAGTATTGGAAGAACTATCAAATGTTACACTTGAAAATATATTAATTAGAGATATCGATACGTTCCTTTTGGGACCACTATTGGGAGGTTTCTCGAAACATACTTTGAGTTATGAAAAATCCAATTATACCATGCGATAGAGCTCATCAAGTTGTACTTGGAACTCAATTGGAATACTTGGAACATGTTTCTGAACGAATGGGTGGTAGAATTACTATACTACTCGGCCATTTCTGGTACATTTGGAGCAATATTTCGAGATTTATAAACGAATACTTTGAACTATGGAAAATCCAATTATAGTATTGGATAGAGCTCATCAAGCTGTACATTGGAACTCCATTGGAACATTTGGAACATGTTCCTGAACGAATCGGCGGCGGAATTACTTGCCGGTTTGGTATTTGAGCCCCCTATTTCAGGATTTTTGGAAACATACTTTGAACTATGGAAAATCCGATTATACTATTGGATAGAGCTCATCGAGTTGTACTTGGAACATTGGAGCATGTTCCTGGACGAATCGGCGGTAGAATTACTTGCCGGTTTGGCATTTGGCATCACTCTTTTGGGATTTCTTGAAACATACTTTGAACTATTGAAAATCCAAATACACCATTCGATAGAGCTCATCAAGTTGTACTTGGAACCCAATTGGAACACACGTAGCAAGCTTCTAGACGAATCGGCGGTGGAATTACTATGCTGATGGGCCATTTCTCATACTTTTGGACCAGTATTTTGAGGTTTGCGAACACATAGTTTGAGCTACGTAAAATCCGGATATATCATTTGATAGAGCTCATGGAGTTGCACTTGTAACACAAATGGAACATTTGGAACATGTTCCTGAGCGAATCGGCGGCAGAATTACTGGAATCGGACGCTAACTTCACCTACGTATTGTTGTAGCTGGCGGTCAATGTCAAGGATATAGTCTGTCACAATTATCATGTCCTTGGAAAATTGTCGTGGATCAATCAGATGCTGTCTACGTAGCTGACACTGGAAACAATCGAATCATACGTTGGTCTCAAGGAGCCATACAAGGAAGTGTCATTGTTGGTGGAAATGACCAAGGAAGTCAATCGACTCAACTCTCTTCTCCTACCGGCTTGTCATTTGATCAAGATAGGAATCTCTACGTGAGTGATCAAGGAAATCATCGTGTACAAAAGTTCAACATTGATCGAAGTTGATGATTTTTCTTAATTGACATTGCTATAACGTTCTCATTGTATTCTTGAACATGTGATCGAACAATAAAGTCATTTCATATCGGAGTATTCCATGATGACTAGTAGATCATCATGAATCAAATATAATAAAATCATTTTCTGTCACTTTCTATCAGAGAATTCTATTTCAAACATTCTGACATTATCTAAATGTTTCTGTTTTGTTACCCAGTTGAAACATTTTGAGTACATTATTAGGACATCAACAATATCGGAAACCATTCTGTAAAATATGCAAATGTATAAGAGAACTTGAATTTCCATGCATCAAATAATTGAAATTCAAGATATGAAGTGAACAATGATTTAGAACTAGTCCAGAGGTTGAAAATTTCTTCTGGTCTTCTGTCTTTTGACAATAATTAGTGGCATTACGCCAATATGTTAAAATCACAGACGAAAATCAAATGTGCCATATGGCAAACGTTGACAATTATGAAGAAGAGAAAGGATCTTTGCTCTAGAGTGTTGTTGTGAACATGAAAGCAATAATCTAGAAATATTGTGTAGAAAATTCATAAGGAAAGTGAGAAAACACTATTTTTCTGAGATGCGAACTCCTGGTTACACTGCGAGTCGATGAATGATTTGTCTTATTCCACTGTTAATCAAATCTCTTTGCTTTTTTTACCACATATGCGAGAACGGATTGTTCGTGATTGAGAAAACAACTCGTATCTACATGAAATATCGAAGAAAGTACGAATTCATAGAAAACGAACAAGATTGCTCTATTGATTTTTTTTCATATTCGAAAATAAGAATCGTTGTGTTTGGTTACATTTGATGGGATGAGGAAAGAAATCGAAATGAAATCATAGAGATGATTCATCATTGCACGCCAAAATATTTCAGATTATTTATTCGACTTTGGAAGACAATGATCATAATGAAACTGAAAATGACTAAATAATTTCATGAAGATGAGAATTTTTAGCTAATCAAAGTATGAGCACATTGCATCAGATGTTTGCCATCAACATCAAAATTTTCAACTCTCACAAAAATATTCACTTTAAAATGTCAGAAATGCAAAGAAAACATTGTTATTGTTAATGAAAAGAGGAAGAAGTGTTTGAATTTATTTTTCTTCCATGATGAAAGTGTAGATTCAGATGATGTAGCGAAGTGAGAACAGACAGAGAAAAAGAAATTTGGTATCGGAGTTCCAGCAACAATGGTAATGAGTAGGTGATAGCTATAAGAAATGGTTCACGTCTCCATCCCATTCGAGCTTCCCGAATGGCATAATCAACATTCATACAAATTTAGTTGAAGTTAGACACTTCCCAATCAATACTCGACTAAATTAACTGTTTAGTAAATGTGTCCAGAAATTGCACATGTTTAATAAGAAAAGCGATAACCATGGTTGATAAGTTCTTCTTTCTCATTTAAGTCAAACAATGATTGAACATCAACAGCAAAAAGATCATCGACCTGTTTGATGAACAAGAATTCGAGATCTTTCCGGGAGAAATTGTTCTGCAACCAGTAGAGAAATGGGTCACAAATAACAAATTCTTCGTTTGTGAGACTAATACACAATTCTTATTTCTTCTGTGTCTCCTACTCCTTTTGAGAGTTCTTCTTCAATATTTTTCCTTTTTCTATTGCTCATCAGTCACTCGATAGATCTTGTATTTCTCTACAGGTCATCGATAACAATAGGAAATCGGAACAATTGTGGTAGCATATTAAAAAGTCTCTCTCATTGGACATTGCTTCTTCCATCATAAGATTGTCAATGTTGTAATGATAAGTCTATTCAATGGATCAGAGTTCGACAACTACATCGATTTTATGTATATCGAAAGAATTTGACGTATCAAAGCTCCTTCGAGTTATCATCTATCCTACTAGGAGAAAAACAATTTATTAAAAAAAAAAACAACTTTTTTTGTTTTTCCAGACTTATTGATTTTGTACCTCATGTTTTTCATAGATGTGCAGCAAGGTAAAAAGAAATTTTTTTTATCGATTAATAGTTTATGAAGTTCACTACTAGACATGTTCGCAAAGCTTTTTAACATCATGTTTCATTTATTTTCTGCAATCTACAAACGATCACTCTCGTTAGAGGATAAAGAGTTAAATAACTTCTAGCTTTCAAAAAAAAAATCATTTTATTGGTAAATACTTTTGATAAAATATAAAGACTGATCATTAATATATAACTATAGAACGAGTAAAGAAATACATTTAAATATTAAATAAATTGATACATGTTAAAAGTTATTCTAAGCTATTATCTTTATAAAATTGCATAAAAGTTAAAACTTGATTTATTTAAAATACGTACATAAGACAAAAACGGAAAAGAATGAATACAAGTCATTTTTTTTTTGTAAATATGAATCATCTTGCTGTTATAGTCAAATACATTTATTGCAATTCTTATTCAATAAAAGAAAAGTTTCGATTCGATTCTTTAAGAAATTATTGATAGATTTTTGTCCAAATAACATAATAAAATATATAAATCCGCTTTTTCTTTTTTGTTACTCGTTTATTATAACGGTGTAAAATGAAAGTAATCAATGTCTTATGTTTCAATGTATAATAAATACTTCTCTTTTACTATATATTAACGTCAATATATGTTGTTGTCTTTTGGATTTTTATTCTTCTAGAGTTTTTTTTTCTTTTCTATTTGCTTCAAACATTCATAACAAGCAGTTATTATTAAATATACAAAAAAAAAACCAACGAACCAAACAGTTAACTTTGATTAACTTGTATATACGCATAATAAAGTAGCCAATGAACAAAATAATGTTTTATATTCAATTCTCTTAACCATAAGACATTACCAATGATTCTATATGATTAGAATTAAAATACTCGAAAGATATTTGATAAAGGCACCGAATATGTTTCTTAACATAAAACAATCTTATGCATTATTATTTCGAATATCCATAGATCTCGATCAACAGGTGCGATGGGTTGGACTAGCTCCACCCACTTTTCACGCCATGCCTATGAAAATTTTCAGTAATTCTCAAAAATTATCTTACAAATTTTTCCATGCTATTTTCTTAATTAAAACAATGAATATATCATTATGAAATCAATAAAATCAAAAATACATTGAACTATATGATCTAAAATCAATTTTCTTTTTTTTTTGTTCATCTTTCGAACATACCTCTAATCGTAAGACGATAACAAAAATCTTCAATATATATATATATATATATATATTTCAAAAGACCAATCATGATTTGTTCTTCTTTTCATCAAATTTAAATTCGAAATCATTTTCCATGTATAATTATTCGAGTTTCTCTTGAAACAAGAAAAGAAAAAAAACGAGGCCAAAATTCCAATATTACACAAAACAGAGGCAAAAAAACCATGAAGTTATTTATACATGCAAAAAAGCAAAAAAGAAACAAATGGAATGTAGAATAAGATAGAGATTAGACCGGGTTTGTTTGTTTCATTTCGGTTATATCTCTATCGATTTAAAAAAAGAAAAAAGAAAAAACCAAAAAATTTATTATCGATGATCATCAGATGAATCATTTTTTACAGCAACAGCAGCAGCAGCTGCAGCAAGATGTAAATAATATCGGTCGGAGCCCGATGAACGTGGTGTAGATGATTGAGAAATAAATTGATAATGTTGATTATTATTATCCCATGAATGTTCATCATCATTTTTATTAATTATATCAGATATATCCGATTGATTTTGTTGATTATGTTCATGTTCAATTGATTCATCTTGTTGTTCATCATCATTAATATCATTTGAACTATTATTTCCATCTTCTGATTTTAAACGTTTATGTTTTGTACGACGATTTTGATACCATACTTTAACCTAAAAATATATATATATATATATATATATATATTCTTATTTTTATTTTATATTTTTCCTTTCGGAATTCATCAATCAATTTTAAGTTGTTATTTTTACTAATCTATTCTTTTTTGCCAAAGGAAACCGTCATCATTTTAGTGTATTTCCTTAAGCAAATACCGGAATTTCTTTACTATAACATATCCGTTTTTCTAATTGATGACTTACTTGAGTTTCAGTTAAATTTAAATGTCGTGCTAATTCTTTACGTTCTTGTCCAACAACATAATGATTTTTTTCAAATGCATTTTCAAGTTTAAGTAATTGAGCTGGTGTAAATGCTGTACGTACACGTTTTGGTTTACGAAATGAATGAAGTATAAGAGCTGCAGCTGCTTCTGGACCTATGATGAGTAACAAAAAAAACAATATAATAAATTTAATTTGAAACATATATAAAACAAAACATTTACTAGTAAATCTTCCATCAAAGAATCGACCACTATTTCGAAGATATTGAAGTTGATATTGAACAATTGGATCCATATTAGTTGGTGGTGGTATCCATGATGTTGGTGGTATATAAGATGGAATTGTTGGAGGATTATGTCGAGGAGAATTTTTTGATGTATCATCATTTTTAATAATATCATTTATTGAAAATCCAATTGATTTTCGAGAATTTGATGTTGTAGCCATTGGTCGTGATGGACGATGAACCGGCATGATATTTTATTTTACTTTACTTTTTTGTTCAATTGATCAACACGTTTTACTCTCGCACTTTAATTCAATTATGTTCGATCTTCCGTTAGAATGTTTTATCAATTTCTTTTTCTCTCGTCTAATATTGACTCGCTGATTTAGTAGAATAACACAACAGCAAAAGCAATAGAAAAATATCTTTTTTTTCTTTTCTCTCTTCTCTTCTCTTCTCTTTTTTATTTCGATCTGGTGCACATATATATATATATATATAGAGAGAGAGAGAGAGAGAATGTGAATTAATTTGTGCTGAATTACCTTCTTCTCCTTCGTCCTATCAAATGACACCTGAGGCAATAGACAATGTATCAAGCTTTACAATGATTGGATATGTACCTAAAAGAGACACATAGAAACGATTTAAAGGCAATTATAGTTCTCTTTTCTTTTCGTCGTGAACGATTATGATTATTGTCGAAAAGAAACATGATCTATCATCAATTGGGTAGTTGCCCTACGTTGTAGACCAATGATGTTCATTTTATAAAATATATCGACACATTTTGTTTTTTTTTATATGTAGTAAAATAAGAATATGATAGATATATGATAAAGTATTAAAAAAAAAAAAAGGCTAGAAATGAATTTATACAATTATGATTGGCGTCAGTTTTCAAATTAATGATCCTCGCTTTTCATTAGCATATTTTCTTTACATTTGTATATAGTGCGTCATGCTGTTTAGAACAAAATGAAAAAATAATTTGCGTGTGCTTATCATCATCATCATCATCATTATCATTGAGTTGGATTTATTTTCAAACAACATGTGTTGCCCTTTGAAGCGCAAGTTCTTTTCTTTTCCGTGTTTTAACATGTCATCGAAGTCAACAGCTGTATGATGATGATGTGAAACAACGTAAAAATAAAATAAAAAAAAATTTTTTTTCGAAACTATGCAAATGAGAATTGTGTTTCTCAGGGTATCATTCATCCGTAAGGATATATTGATTCGATTAATTTTAATTATGTCATAACACTAAGAGAGAGTGAAAAATAGGTGTTATTCTTGAAACATCGTTTTCTTAAGCACTCGACACATGCGTCAATGGCCGATGGGCAGAGACGAGCAACAACAACAACAATTGATGATGTGTCGTCGATCGATGATCAACTGGGGCGAACGATAATTGCGAGAAAGATTGAAATCAAATTAATCCGATAGTGATTTTTTTTTGTATTAAACTTTGGAATAATCATATATATAAATCTATCAAAGGGATTATTATTTGATATGAACTATAAATCTATAAGACATATCTTTCTAAATATCAATTCTTTTTTTTTCATACAATAAGAAAGAGAAGAAAAAAAAACGGATATTTGTACATGATTGGTTGTGTATATTTGCACAAAGCTTCTGTACTATGTCACTTCACTTCATCAACACCCTTTGCGTTTGTCCAGACATAATATACTCATTCAATCAATTGTTGCTTTACTTGAGGGCTAATTCCAATTACAACAAGAAGCAAAATAAAACACATATATATATATATATATATGTATATATATAATAAAAAACTATAGATATTGTTGTTTGTGAATGTGAATCAATAAATTTATAGTTGAATTGATTTTTATTTTGTTATCGTTATCTCAATTGCACATCATGTTCGATTGATTGACTTGCTTGATGTTTAAAGAATGAGAGGGAGGAAACTATTCAATTAATTTTTTATTCATCGTCTTTGATCTATTTAAGAAAAAAAAATCAACATGTGCACAATACTTATCGTTGTTCAGTGGACAAAATGATTAACCTTGAATAAAAAATAAAGCTTCTGTTTACTCTTGAATATTGTCGCTACCTTGATCTTACTCTAAGTAACAATTCTTAGATGCGCGACTGTAATAAAAAAAAAAAAGAAGAAACAGAAAAATTTCAATCGAAATTCTTCTTAATCTGTACGAATATATATAAGTGAAGAGACGTGACTTTCTAATCTCAAAGTATCATCATCGTCATCGTCTAACACCAAAGAGAACAAAAAAAAAATCGTTTGATGTGAATATGATATGCGCCATATAAACATGATGTTTGATCAAAGATCATCGACTATTAACAATCAATCGATTGAGTATATAAAATTTTTTATTTTTCAAAATTAACTACTATTATTTATGCTTTTGTTATTATAAATAATAAGATTTTGAAATTCGATCATTTCTTTTCCTCCTTCTTTTTTAATTCATTCATTTATTCTACTTAACAATTAGAAGGATGAGTCTAATCACTATTTTCTTCTTCTGTCTATATAGATCGATGAATGAATGAATGAATGAATGAATGACAAGATAGATCTAGATGAGGATTAGTCAGGTGCATAGAGATATACGCGTGTATATGTTTTTCGACACTAAGGTGTGAGAAAATTGGAAGAAAAATCTTGTTCAATCAGATAATAGAAAAAAAATAATTATTCAAAAAAAAAAAGAAAACGATCATTTTGCATTATTGTTTCAATAAAAGAAGGAATAAAGGTGTTTTAATAATATATTGGAGAGTTTATTGATGAATTAAGAGAAGATTCGAATTCTGTAATAGCAAATGTAAAACATCATAATTAAAATGTTTCTTTTTTTCTATCAGTTAATCAATGATAGGATCATTGAAGAAAAAAATATAACAGCTATACTAATGAAGAGACCAATCAATATAAGTTTAACACATGTCAAAGAAAAAATTGTACGAAAAATTGACTTTTGTAGACAAATGAATTGAGTAGTAGAAAAAAAGAAATAAATAATTTGTTAAAGTAAAATATAACATTCATCGTTCATTTTATTGGACTCGAAAAGATATAAACAGATCATTCGTTTAAAAATTTATTTCAATAATAGGTGTTGTCATCAATATCATTTGCATTCTATAATTAATCTATGATGAAATTATCCCAGCATTCAATACTATTATAAAAGAATTGTATTTCAAAAAGAAAAATAATTTTTTAATATTGAGTAAAAGAAAAAGTATGTCGAAGATTTAATCGCAATGTAAGATTTAAAAGATATTGGATTATTATATTCTTGTTGACATTTTAAATCACTGATTTGACTAATTTTTTTTACATATGTTATAGGGACAAATGATTTAATGATTTTCTATGTAACCTGTTTGAAAAATCATTGTTCCATTCTTGCAATATTGAAATATTTCCGAAAGTACAATGGTTTAAAAAACACATTTTTACTGATTTTTTTTTTGTGACATTCATATCTCATTTAATATCCATTCATTAAGCATGAAATTTTACTGTGAAGACTTTACTTGTTGAAATACTTCTAATAAAAAAGAAAAAGCTC